GACCTTCGGTCTATCGGACCTTCGGTCTATCGGACCTTCGGTCTATAGGGCTGTAACCGCTAGGTCGGAATAAATAGGTAGGCCTACGTTACGGTTACCAACGTGTTTGGAATATGTTACTGTCAGACAGACATCCATTATAGCACAGGCACTTGAAGCGTTTCAACTGTAAACACACGCCGCCGCCATTGCGCGCACACTGATACATAAATATATCAGTGTGCGCGCAATGGCGGCGGCATGTGTTTACAGTTGAAACGCTTCAAGTGCCTGTGAACACGGCCCTAGGCTAGAAGACATGTCCTATATCCCACAATACTTCATGTCTACAATACAATACACAATGGGTCATGTCTTCTAGACTAGCTCCGGAAACGGCCGGATCCGAAACTGCATATATCAATGATGTACATTCAACAACTTGTCTTTTTTGTGTGTTATTCAGAAACTGATTATGTCCAGGCAGTGACGGTCATCACCATGTCAAAAAAACTTAGATTGGCTCCTCAGGCTAATCCGACCAGGCTGTGTGACTGACGTCAATATACGTATTCTAACCCTAGCAATACCGTTTCTTGGAGCTACCTCAGGCATTCCCAGCACCAGTCCAGCCGACAAACTGGGACATTTGTGTTCTGTGTCAAGAACGTGGTGGAACTCTCATAAATCCATCGGCAACAGGATATGCATCATTGGCCAAAAGTGTATCTTCCCTTCATGAACTAAACAGTGTGCCATTGAATATTAATGTATCAAGCCTCAATGATGGTGACGGCATGGAAGAAACGCTTGTAACCCATAGAGCTAAGTGGCATAAAACTTGCTACGTACTTTGCAATGCAACACAAGTAGAAAGAGCCAGGAAGCGACAAGAAAATGCTTCTCAGGAATTAGCTCACTCACCACTTAAACAGCACCTTCACAGTGCAAGCAATCCATCATGTTCTATGGAAACAGAAAAGGGAAATGAACCAGCTTGTTTTTTCTGTGATGACACCACAGGAGACCTTCACAAATCCGAGACGATAGCCCTTGATACCCGTGTCAGGCAAATCGCTACGGAGCTCGTAGATACCAAGCTGTTGGCCAAATTATCAGTTGGAGATATGATCGCTATCGATGCTGTATATCACTTGAAGTGCTTGACATCATTCTATAACAAACGTAGATCTCAACAAAGACGTTCAACTGAGAAGTATTGCCAAATTAACCCACAGTCACTTGCACTTGCTGAGGTGGTATCTTATATTGAAGAATATGGCCAATCGGGTGGAGACCTAAATCATGCTTTCAAACTCTCTGATCTCAAGGAATTGTATTGTGAGCACCTACAAAAATTAGGTGGTGACCCAACTGGACGCATCCATTCCACCAGACTTGCACAGAAACTCCAACAACACATTCCAGCTCTCGAAGCTCATAACAGCAAGTCTGGCACAGTATTGTCATTCAAGGAAGATGTTGGTAATGCTTTGCTAGATGCATGCAACTTCGATCCAGATGACGAAGCTGTCATGTTGATGAGGGTAGCAAAGTTGGTTCGCAAAGAAATGTTTGAGAAAAATTACCACTTCAATGGTTCCTTATGTGATGAACAATATGACAATCTACCACCTTCTCTATGTGCTCTGGTCGGGATGATTCTAGGGGGCTCAAGTGCGAGACAACGTATTGATGACAATGTTATAAGCACAGCTGCCTCGTCCATCACACAGTTACTACTCTTCAATGCTGTCAAACGAGGTAGGAGAGATTCTGTAGCAGTACGGCACAACTCTGACCATGAGACTGTTCTCCCATTGTATCTTGGCCTACTCATTCACAACAGAACTCGTAAACGTGATCTCATTGATAATCTCTTTGAGAAAGGTCTGTCAGTGTCATATGACAGAGTTTTGCAACTGTCCACAGAGGAAGCCAATAGAGTAATTGACATATATGAGATTATTATATATTAATCATAGAACTTATAGAAGAAATATGCTTTGGCATTGTCCTTATATATAGTCGTAGTCGACGGCATGTATCACCCCAACGGCTCTTCCACCAACCCCCAACGCGGCTAAACGATGTAGGGGCCTACCCTTCAAAGTATAGAAAATATAACTGCAAGTATCTTGAACGTTTGGTAGCGCGGTTACGAAATAAAGGTGTAGGAAAGAGTTTCCGGTTAAGATGTACTGGGGGCATGCCCGCGAGAGATGTGCATTGTAATCCGATCTAAAATTCTTACTCTCTCTAAAATACTTATTCTCTAAAGGGCCGGACACACTAGGCGATTAAATCGCCCGATTCTATCGCGCGAGTCGAGTGGGCACACTAGGCGACTAAATCTGGCGACTAAATCGGGCGATTAAATCGCCGGTGAAATCGCCTAGTCGTGCATGCATGTGCACGTAGACGTGCGTGCGTGCGTGCGTGTGCACTTACACCTGCATGCATTCATGCGTGCGTGCGTGTGTATGTAAACGTGCATGCGTGCGTGTGTGCGTGCGTGTGTGCGTGTGCACGTATACGTGCGTGCGTGCGTGCGTACACGGGCGTGCATGTGCGTGTGCACGTACACGTGCGTACGTGCGTGCGTGCGTGTGTACGTACACGTGCGCGCGTGCGTGCGTGTGCAAGTACACATGCGTGCGTGCGTACGTGTGTACGTACACGTGCGTTCGTGCGTGCGTGTGCACTTACACGTGCGTACATGCGTGCGTGCGTGCGTGCGTGCG